AGATAATTTAGGTATATGTTCTGTTAATATCAGTAATCTAGAACCCCCTAAATTCAATTTCAAGAATTGATAGGATTTGAAGCTGCTTTTCAAAGTGACACTTTTTCTTCTACCATTTTACCCTAGGTTGTATTTCTTTTGTGACCTAAAACATTGTGAGTCACTCATACCATGTAGTCTCTGATTTCTCTGCCCTCAAGAAGCTGCTCTGAGTGTGTTCATTCCTAGTCTGGTAATTCTTCTGTCTTCTCTCAAAGCAGATAAGGATGTGCTAAGAAACACATTGTTACATGATTTTGTTGTGGGAACATCACATCATATATGTACAAAAAGCTAGATGGTCCAGCCCAACACTTCCCCAAGTTATACATAGAGTCTACTGCTCTTAAATTACAACCTGCACTTACTGCATTAATACTAAACACTATAGAAGATAGGTAAAATATTTGGTGTTAAGCATTTGTGCTTCTAAACACAGAAATAAAATGCTATGCTAAAATATGGTACAGAAGGTGTATATATCACAGTACACTTATATCTGGCAATGACAATCAAAGAACACACAGAACTGAAAGCTGTTCTGGTAAGCAGTGCACAGTAGTGAATGTGAAGGGCTAGAACATAGAGGTTACTGCTGTCACGTTTGTAAACACTGTACACTTAGGTCACACTAACTATAAACCATGCCGCCACCACACCCAGGGAATTTTGATGCTTGTCTATGATCTCAGAATTTGAGAGATAAAAGGTGGAGGACTGAAGTGTTTCAGGAAAGCTGTACTAATATAACTAGACCTTCTCTCCAAATGAACACACACATGACAAAAAAAAAAGGAAAACAAAACAAAAAAACATACTAACAACAAAACAATACTGGTACAGAAGTTGGAACCAGGTACACTTATTGTTGTGATGGGCCTGACCATGATTTTGTTTGGAGGTACGTGGACTTTGGATTACAAAAGCAGCCGAATACTTTAAGCAAGGCTTAATGGGCTCTCCTAGAAGGAACAAGGAAGACAGTGGTGCTGAGGGTGATCTGAACTGTGGGGGCCTGTTTCAGAGAGGAAACTGGTATGTGGCCTAGACTATTCTTATATTTTGCTGACAAATGTTGCTGGTTTCTGCCCTTGTCCAAAAACTCTGCCTGAGGCTAAAGTGTAGAGATTTGGATTAATTGTTTTGGCAGAGCAAATCTCAAAACAGTCTAGTATAGACATTGATTGTCAAATGGTTTATTAGTGGTAACTCTTAGGCAGATCCATAATGAAGCAACCTGACCAAGTAAAAACTGTAAAATGTACAGGTTGAGAAGAAAAGAAGCACCAGGAAGTGGAGAGGAACTAAACTGTGTGTTCAAGGAGATAAACAAATTAAAAAGTGAAACAGAGGGAATGGTGACCTCAGGACCGGACTGCACCACCCTGCTAAGATTTCAGGAATTAAAGAACAACTTTGGTCCATGTGAGGTAGTGCCCACCTTTAAATCCAGTACTCAGAAGGCAGAGAGGTGGGCAGATCTCTGAGTATGAGGCCAGAGTGGTCTACAGATCTGAGTTTCAGGATAGCCAAGCTTAGGCAATAAAGGATACCACTGAAAGCAGGAAGTTGGTGAAGACCTAACTCAATGAAGGAGCCATGTTCCAGCTCCACTAAGCAGCAGAATTTGGCAGCTTCAGCAACATCGTTTTGGCTTTAGAATCAAGGTTAGAAGAAAGGGGTTACAGAATCTTCCTTCTAGAATAAGGGAAGCCGCTGAGACCAGATATGTGTCAGGGGTGTTGTTATAATTTTGTTGACCCTCCCTGTCAGTATCCTGTCCCTTTAAGAGACAAGCTCCACCCACTCCTAATCCCTCCCCTTCCCACTGAGGCAGCAGGTCTTATACTCTCTTTCTCTCTCACTAGCTCTTCTAAAGAGGCAGTTCTCTTCCTTCCTCCTCCCCTTTCTCTTGCTCTCCCTCTTCATCCCCTCCCTGTCTCCCTCTAAACTCCCCTTTAATAAAACTTTACATTCAGTCTCTGTCCACATGACATATTCTGTTTTCTATCTGCCTGGTCCCCTATCCTCAGGGATCTGCCAAAATCTTTCATTGGTGTCTTGAACTTGGCAGGCTCTCCCTTGCAGCTGAGGGCTCCCAGGGATTCTGTAATGTTTAACCCTTCCATACAGTCACTTTTCCAACTCAAAATCATTCTACACCCAATGGTAGGTTCCTGCCCGGACCTCTGACCATGCCTCCATGATTTGTCTTGGAGGTGGTTCCCCCACATGAAAAGACCCAGTACTTGTCAACCACTTGTCTATCAGACTTAAAGCCCCTTGCTCTAGCCCCCTACTCCATGTGACAATGCAGGGGTTCGGTTTGTGTCCACACATTCTCATGGCCCCAGGACCTTGTAAGTGATGACTCAAGCAAGGCCCAGCCTGAGCCATGATCCATACTGAACTTTTGGGATACAGGAGTTCAGTTTCTTGGACTTTCTTCTTTCCTTACTCATGGAAACTGCACCTTCCCCCTCACATATCAAGCTACATAGCTGCACATCGTCAGCTTACATTCTGCCAATGATCAGTATTTGGAAGTTTTTATAAGAGAAAGAAAAATGGCAATGTTATAATTTTACAGGCCTTCCCTGTCAGTACCCTGTCCCTTTAAGAGACAAGCTCTACTCACACCCAATCTCCCTCTTCCTGCTGAGGCAAGGTGGTGCTCTTCCTCCCTCCCTCCTCCCAGCTCTTCTAAAGAGGCAGCTCTTTGCCTCCCTCTTCCCCTCCCCCCCTCTCCCTCTCCCTCCCTCTCTCTCTCTTTCTCTCTCTCTCTCTCCCTCCCTCCTTCCTTCCCTCCCTCCTCCCCTACACTCCCCTTTAATAAAACTTTACACTCACTCTCCATTCACATGGCATATTCTGTTTTCTACCCACCAGGCACTGTAGGACCTGCTAGGGTCACTATGTGAAACTCTGAAGGCAAGGTTTGCTTTAGTCCAATATTTCTAAACTATACTTCTTTCCCTCAATTTTGGGATGGTAATGTGTATCCTGTGCTATTACATGTTGGAAGCATGTGATCTGCTTTTTGATTTTGATTTCACAGGGGATTACAGTAAAGAGATTGTATAAATCTCAGAAGAAACTTTGAACTTTGGACTCTGCATTATGATATGGCTACAAGCCTAGTGGGGCCAGGGAGTGAAATGTGGTGGTTTGAATAGGAATGGCCCCCACAGACTCATTGGTTTGAATGTTTGGCCCATAGGAATTGGCTTAGCACTATTAGTGGTAGCCTTTTGGGGATAAGTATGCCACTTTGGAGAGAGGCTTTCAAGTCTCATATATGCTCAAGCAACACCCAATTTGGCAGTTTCATTCTCCAGCACCATGCTTCCTGCCTTGACTACAATGAACCAAACCTCTGAATGTTTTCCATAAATAATTTTCTTCTTCTTTTTATTAATTCACTTCTTTACTTGGTAAAGTTTCTAGCTTAAAACTAAGCCTTATACTTCAGCTTAGACCTACACATTAATCTTAGTAGTCTCTTTCCTTGACATGATTGGTCCTCCTGAAAAGCCTTCTGCGGTGACAACGTATACAAAGTTGTTTTCAGTAACACCACCACCACCTAGACTCCTTAAGGCGGATGTGAGACTCACAGGACTTGTCAGATCTTTCAGAAGTATGAACACTGAGGCGTGCAAATGTGTAACATGCTTCTTGTTCATCTCAGAGTTGCCTGCACACAGAGGGCACACTGCGAACATCCTGTCCTATGAAGGAAACCCTTCTGATATTGGTAACCAGGTTTCCAACTTTTTAAAGGACATTGTTAGGACTGTAAAGACTTCTGCTGTTCACTGAAAAGTTTCAGGTTCTTTCTTGGTTCTCCAATTTCCTGATTTGTTGCCCCTATTTAAGCTATATTTAACAGATAACATCAATTTTTTGAGCTCTGGGATAGACTGAGATTATTGCCACACACACAGCTTTTCACCAACAAACACATACTCATGTGATGTGTTATAGCGCATGCACTTTGGTCTAACTTTCATAATTCTACATGGTGAGAGGGCTCATACAAATTACACAGTCTATTATTATTATTATTATTATTATTATTATTATCATCATCATCATCATCATCATAAAATCTGGAGGCTGACTCACAAATTTTAAAAGGACAGCAAGAGTGTATCAAATGAAACTGCACTTGGAAGTCAAATACTTTAAATTATGTGTCATGTCAGAATTTTTTGTGTTGAAAATAAAATTAAGGGCTTCCACTCAGTGGAAGAATTCATTTTTGCATGTACAAGGCCAAAGGGTCAATTCACAGGCCCTAAACACAACCTACAACAACAAAAAAATTTATCCTCCTCCCTAATCAAGCATCTAAAAGACTTTTTAAAAAATGGTACTGACAACTGTTAAAACATAAATCAAAATAGTAAAAATAATTCTTTCTACATATAATTCATTGAAGTCTTTAAAATGTATAAAGAAGTGAAAAATTTGATGATCTGATTTTTATAACCTAGCAGTGTAACTCTCTTGTAAATAAATAGAATGATTAAATATTACTATATATCTATAGAGTTAATTCTACCCTGAAGTAGTATTTAGTTAGGAATACATCAGCTAAGCCCCCCCCCCTTTTGATCATTAAGGATGAGACACAGATGACACTCTGGAGGAACTTCTAGTCTTAAGAAAGATAACTGAAGTATGCACATGTGTCCTGGGTATATGAGATTCATCAAGACACCGCTTTACTGGTGATATTTTAATTAGTACCTAAAACATCTATTTTCTCTATTGATAAAATGCCAGAACAAAACAACAAAAACAAAAAAACAGAAAAGAAAAAGAAAACACCTACCATTAACCTAGCTATACCTTAAATCTAAAACAAAGACGATAAAACAACCAATATAAACCAATGTTTATAAGTATTCATAAACATTATGAAATTCCATAGTTAAAATTACATGAAAACTTACCCCATCTGATAGTGCCCGCCAACATACAGCACTAACAAATTCATTTGTATCATCTTCTTTCCGGTCTTTGTCCAGAACACTCTTGACTGTATCAAACTTAAAAGTCAGCAAAGTCTTAGAAAGTCCTTTATAGTACAGGTAGAGGGAATTGTTTTCACTTCCTGAAGAGAAATAGTAAGTGTAATCTTTTTAGAATGGGAGAACCTGGAATTAGAATACATATATACATACATACATATTCATTTGAGGCACTCTTGCTAGGTAGCCCAGATAGTCCTTAAATTTAAACTGACTTCCTCTGTTTCTCAAATGCTGGGGTCATAGGTGTATGGCACTACAGCTAGCTAAGAATACCATCCTTTCTATAATCCCTACACTCTGTCCTAGAAATTGAATATAAGGCCTTTGGCTACAGTGAACTACATCTCTAGACCCAGTTCCAGAACACAACAGTTACATAGTAATTATTAATCCAAGTTTCAGCAAAGAGACCAATTATCTTTTATATTCAAATATGAAAGACAAGACTAATTAATTGAGAACTATGGGAGAAGGGACAAAACTATGGCTTACTAACCCAAAGAAATAACCATTGCGAAATGATCTGACAGTGCTTATAATTCTAAGTTTGAAATGTTTCATATTAAAAAAAAAACCTATAGCAGAGGTCTACACACTTAAAAAGCAGCTATGAAACAAGAATCTTAAACTGCATTTAAAAATATTACAATGTACAGAAGAAAAATAAAAGTTGTGGTACTTTTATAAAGACCAATTTGAACAGCCTAAACAACTCGATTCTCCATTCCCCATACAGCATCACCCTACCAATGAGAGTCGAACTAACACATTTCAGAAGCCTCCTAAAGATAAGCGTGCTGCATACCTACTTTGGTGGTAATCAAGCTCATACATTAGGAAAAAAGCCATGTCATTTAAAAGTGTTGACAATTCCTTTATTAGAACATTTGAAAACAGAAAATTGAATTTTTCTACTTCTGATTTAAGTTTGCATAAATTATATATTAATAAAAAATCCAGAATAACATATTCATGCAATCCAGACTGTTTAATGAATAGGATACTAGACAGGACAAAATGAATATGTTTCTGAAAAGATGTCTTCTTGAAATACTAGTAGCAGAATTTAATAGTTTTTATAGTTTAGATAATTCCAACAAAAATTATGGCATGTTTAGAAATACTAGAAAGTACTTAAAGATTCTTTTTCATTACTAAGAATACAGGGCTTGGGTGCAGAAAAGAAACACTAATGCTCTCCAGCATGACTGGAGGAAAGAATTCAGTCCTAAGCATTAAGTGATGCTGTCTTCTGAGAACACAGATTATTTTTCCACTGAAAACTACCATGACATGTCTTTGCAAAGTTTCTATAAAAATATAATTTCACTTACCACAAGCTATATAATCTCCATTGGAAGCAAGTCCTACGAAGTTTTTTTCATTAATATGACCCTTGAAGGAACGCAGACAGTATGGTTTCCCCACATTCCACAGTTTTAGTTGGCTGTCTGTTGAGCTGAGATAAACACAAAGAGGACTAAATTTTAGATTTCATTGTATGAAACTCATCACCATTAGTAATTAAAAAGCAATCCAATTTTGTGGTCAAGAATGCAGACTCTGGTGCCAGTGTGTCTGAGTCTTATGTTCTCATTGGCCAATTTTTTAACAGGTAAATACGATATATAATAATCTACTTTATAGAATTAAATGGGCCTGGACCCAACACTGTGAAAACCAAATTCATCTAACATGCTTTCAATAATGCCTGGGTAAATAGGAAATAGCACTGTCACACTATCAATAAATAATGAGTCTTTGCACTCAGAGATGTGCTCCATTTTGGGAAGACCCTCATTTTTCTTGTTACTGGTATACTAGACATAAACTTTTTCATGCAATTCCTACATGTGAGAAATATGGTTGGAAAGCACACAGTGTAGTTTATTTTGCTGAAAGAATATATAGATCTCATTGCTTACCCAAAACTCTTTTTGTTTTTTCTAAAACCCACTAGTAATTCTAATAAACAAATTTAGGACTCACACTATTTTGCAAACTGCTTTCTTGTATTGAATTGCTTACTTTATACTTTTTATATACTTTTTAAAGGGATTGTATCAATGTATTTATTAAGGACTACATAATTAAATCATTTTGAGCAGGACACTATGGTACACCTTTTCCATATACTATTTTATTTAAAGATTTAAAAACTTAGTGTTGCTATTAGCCCCATTTTGAAGATGAGGAAATTGAGGTTCAGAAGGTTACAACTGTATATACATAAAATTCAAACCATTTGATTTGAGCTCCTTTAGAAATCCCAGCACTTGGGAGGCACAGGCAAATGGATCTCTGTGAGTTTGAGGCCAGCCTGGGCTACAAGAGCTAGTTCCAGGACAAGCTCCAAAGCTATAGAGAAACCCTGTCTCAAAAAAACATAAGAACAAAAAAGAAAGAAAGAAAAAAGAAACCACACACACACAAAGAAAAAAAAATGTGCTTTAATCTATTTTATTCCACAGTATTGCAATGACTTTCCTTTTATGTTTTCATTTAAAACAAACTTCACTAAAGTCATTTACTGCCTATTATAGTTATTCTAAAGATAGAATTCTCTTTAGCTACCACTTAATTTAAGTTTGTGAATTCATTATCCATATTACTCCCTTGGAAAGCTCAGTTATGAATACTTTTTTGTCCTCTTTTGTAACTGAACTGTAATCATTTTTGCAACATCACTAAATTCTTATTTACAGCAACCACTGTGAAGATGAAGGTGAGATGCAAAATTCAAGGCCCTGGTGCAAGCAAGCTTCTAAGAGAGATAAGGAACTAACTTAAAAAAAAAAAAAGAAAACAAGAAACCAGTAAGTTTGTGTGTGTGCAGAAATTAAGAATGAATATTTATTAGATAATAAGAAAACTATGAGAATGATAAACAAAACATGGAACTACCCATGTTATTAGAAAAGTTCTGTAGTTTCGCAATGGAGATTACTTTGTATCACTGATATTTTCGTACCTTCAAAAATAGCAACTAAGATTTTATAAAGGATATTTATTAGGTATAAACAGACACACTTAAAAAGTTATCTTTAAAACGGATTTTACTGTGAAACTGATGTAGGTTATTATAAAATCAACAAAATATTTAAAACCAAAAATTATTCTACTACTATGTTGAAAGCAGACCTATAAGTAACACATACTGATTGACTCTAATCAAATAAATTATTTTTCTTTATATTGCATCAACCATGTTGGCTACCTCTTCAGGAGAAGCAGTAACAGATATCAAATTTGAAGTTCAACTGTTAATTAAATTACAAATATCACTTAAGAGGGCTTATCAGAAAGTAATACAGCATTTTATTTATAAGTAACACAAAATAAACAATAAAGGTAAGATACACGTATTTTAATTAAAGACATATAAATCTGTTATTTGAGAAAGAAAATACAATCCAAGGTCACTCTTTGCATATACCCAACAACATCAATGCTGAGACCTCTGTACCAAACTCAACCTCCAAGGGGAGTAATACTCACGCAGAGACAATTTCTTCACCACTAACAAACTTGGCATAAGAGACTGCTTTTCTGTGTCCCTTGAATACCATTATTGGTTGTTTAGTGTTACGGAGATCATAGTAGTGAACACAGTGGTCTAAAAGAAAATAAAGAGATAAATGTAGTAAATGAAGAAAAGGAAGGAAAACAACAGAAATGGATTTGGTGTTTACATCTGAGTAAAGTGGTAGCTGAGTAAGAGCGATCATCTTAACATAGAAACATTATTTTGAAGCCTTGTTTATAAAAACTACCCTCACAAAAGTTAGTAAGGAGTCCAGGAGAGAGATCTCAGTATCTTTTTTAAGCCTAACAGAAGCAAGCAGACTATAAAATACATAAGACAACAGCAAAAAGAAAAGAGCTGCCCACAAGCCTCTCCTTAATTTCAAATAACACAGCATACAAATAAGGGAAGAAGAAACTAGCTTTTTAGACCTAAAATTTAGAGCCTAGTAACAGAACATGAAGGTGCAATCCAGTATCTGACAGTGCTTAAGGTCAATTACCAAGCCAGTGCTCATGCACTAAAACTTTGGGTGAAGCTGGCCTGGTGTCAACAAGCTGCTCTCTTCCCAGTGTCTATCAATGCTCCATCCCCTGGGGCTAAGGGAAAAAAAAAAAACACACACATTGCCAGGCCACTGGAACCCAGCAAGCTTTTGGTCTTCAAGAAAACAGCATCTGAACTCACTGTGATGTCAGGCACGAAGGGATTAGTGGCCACAGTAAAAACAATCTGTATTTCGACCAGTATCACCTGTGGCTGACTTAGCTACCTAAGGCTCCAAATATACCAGAGCAGCAGACAGGTACAACACTGTGGTCCTATGTTCAGTCTGTGCTGTGCTGGTCTCAGGTGCGGGCTCTAAGGATGACTCTATACTGAGGTGTCATCCTGAACCCAATGCCCAAGAGAACATGGACAGAGCCAGTATTGCTTGGGATTAAAGGAAGTAGTTGCCAATTTACTGCATTAGATCATTGGGTCTAGTTTGTAGTCTAATTAACACTTTGACATATTAAGTGTCACTATTCATTAATCTAGCATACATTTCCATTATTTAGGGCGTCTTCATTAGTGTTGCTATGATAATAAACCCTGACCAAAAAGCAGAGTTTCAATGTTGTAAATTCATAGGCAAATTTTCTTGGCCTTTTTAGCCCCCTTAATAGTGAATCCCTGCTCACTTGTGTCTGACCCAACAAACCTGAACTACTAAGTAAAATACTCTGGGATGTATTATCTTAACAAACCACTAGATTCCACCAATCCTAAAGGCTAAAATGTCATCAAATAGCATCTGAATCCAATATCAGGTATTTTTCTATCTGTTTGTAACTCTCCTGGCCTGATGTTTTCACCAATGTAGCTAAAAATGCCTTAATTTATGTTTTCTGTTGTTCTATGTTTACAAAAACAACACAATTCTGCAATCATATTGGAACATGGTATTTGGGGCAAACTCAGTCAGTGTGCCAGGACCATGGTAACTCCTATTGGGCTTCAGATACATACTGTTTTTCCTTTCAGTGTTTTGTTATTTCATTTACAAAAAGCATTGTGAACAAATACCTAATTCTGGGATTACACACTTTTCCTAACTTTTAAGTACTTTTTGTGATAATTCTGTTGATCTCTTGGTCTCATGTGCTTCTTGATGCTAAGTCAGCTGTTAACTTTTACCTTATTCTGGACATATTTTTGATGGAGGAGGATTATCTGTCTATTGTGTTATTTTTATTGGTCAATAAAGAGACTGCCTTGGCCCCTTGATAGGACAGAAAATTAGGTAGGCGGAGTAAACAGAACAAAACGCTGGGAAGAGGGCTATGAGCCAGACGCCATGGAGCCAGCCACCAGGTCAGACATGCTGAATCTTTTCCGGTAAGCCACCACCTCATGGTGCTACAGATTATTAGAAATGGGTTAATATCAACATATGAGAGTTAGTCAGTAACTAACTCTCTAGAGATAATGGGCCAGGCAATGCTTAAATGAATACAATTTGTGTGTTGTTATTTCTGGGACTAAGCTAACCGTGCGGGAGCTGGGCAGGATGAAAAGCAGGCCTGCCCGCAGCTCGTCACTACATATTTTGCCATCAAAGTTTTTGCTTTCAATAGTAAGCATTATACCAAACTATAAATGAATGACGCTGACCACATGGTAAATGATCCCTTTTTCTTATTTCTATTCTGAGCCTATTCAACATTATGAAAACAGTTAAAAGGAGAGAAACAATAGTAGAGAAGTACAGGTTGTGGAGATGGTTGCAATACTAAGAAGAAAATCAGGTTTCATTAGATTAGTTCTATCAATTATGCTCAAGCCGTGGTTATTCAAGAAAGACAAACAATTCTGAATGAAAATAAATAAACATAACTCAAGATATCAATAGATTAAACCAATATCTGGTGAACTTATTCTGAAAGACACTGAATAAAATATTGGATGTGTATTGAAACAAAAAGCAGTAAAATTAAAGGATTTGATTTCAAAAGACTTTTATAAAACTAGATGTTTAAAATAAGAAAACAACAACAGCCCACTTAACTAAACGAAGTGAACTGAAATACAGCTACTAGGAAACACAACACTGTCCTTGGTTTTGTACTGAGGTAGAGGCTGCAATGAATCACTGCAAAAGAAGTAAACCTAACATTTTTGGCTGATGTAAACTCAACAACTATAAAAAAGCTACTCTTATAAGAAGGAAAAATAAATATAATGTCTACGGGAAAGGCAAATACCAACAGTTTCTGTCCATATTTTTAAAAAGTAGCACAACAGAGAACGGAATTACTATTTCACTTAAAATCACAACAAAGTTATATATAGAAAAGAATGCTGACTGGAAAAATCCCTACAGAAAAGCAGAAAACCCCCAGACCCTACAAGAAACAAACTGTAAACTTTCACTTACAAAATCAATCCAAACTAAAATAAAAGCATCGCATGGAATTATATGGGGAAATACACAACAGTAAAGCTCCTAAAACTACTAAATATTTGTAATTATAATTATTAATTATTGTATAATAATTTTGCTGATCTGGAAAAATATGAACAATAAAACTTACTTTTTCATAAAGAAACAAGAAAAATAGGTAAGAAAAACAATGATCGTTTATATAAAAAAAAAAATCCTGGAAGATGTGTACATCTGGCATGTACACAGTAAGCATCCAAATGAGAATCTACCGTAATAGCCAATAGTTAAAGACAACTTGGGAGACAAGTATGCTTGCTCAAGATTACATTTCTTGCTAATGGAAAAAAGAGTAAACAGGGAAGTGAGAGATTCACAGAAACAAGTAGCACTAACAGTGACAAGGTTTAAAACATGTTTTCTCAAAGTTGTTATTGTTCTCATTACATGGTGTCAGCTTATCTTTTAAAAAAAAGTCATAATATTAGGAAAAACAACAAGGAACTTTCACATTTTAAATTATAAGTATTTACTTTTTAAGTAAGTATTCAAGAGAGAGAAAAAATTGAGTAGGGTGAGCATATGACTTATTCTGCAACTTATGGCCCTCTCAAAATGAAAACTGCTACTACAGTAACGTGAAGGGACCAGTGTAAAATAGGAGTGCAAAATACTTAAGGTGATTTGTTGTTATGACCAGAAAACCTATCTTTAAAAAAAATGGACTACACATCAACATGTACTCCATGCTAAACAATTGGGAAGTTCATTCCCCTTAGGTGAGTGCATTATGCATAGCAAGAACTGAATAAAGTCAGAGGAATTAATAATTCCTAATTATTAATTCTAATTAGTAATTAGAATTAATTTTAATTCTTAAAAAATTCCTGATCCTCTATAGTACAGCTGTTTAATAAACACTATTCTGTTAGTCTCTAAGAAAAATGCACACAAACATTTAGCAGACAACCAACAAAAATGAACATGCCCATCTCTATTATTAAAGATAGGTGACAGAGTAACACAACTAGGTAAAACAATAAATGAGTAATAACAATATACTTCTTACTAAAACCTAACAACAAAAAGAAAATTTAAGATTACAAAAGTACAATTCATTTTTAAATGTACTTGCAGGCACGGGAATAAAAAGTGAAAGAGTATAAATCTACTTTTATTTTTTACCTGCACAGCCAAAAGCCAAATGGTATCTGGAGGAGGGGCTGAATTTCACACAGCAGACGTTAGCCTTTGCCTCAATGCTTGCCACGGAATTGTCTAAATTAGTAGACCACAGCTTCACTAAGGTAATGAAGATAAAAATAAAAAGAACAATACACTGAGAAAATGTTTCTGCAACTGGACAAGTGTCACCAATGTACCTTTTGTGTCAATATGAAATATTTTATTAGGACCAAAAAATTTAAGATGAATAATCATGTAATAGAACAATACTTGAATCTGAGAGCTTACTTTCAATGCTAAAACTCAACAGATATGAGCAGTGATTTCACAAAGATATGTGGGACCCATAAGACAAAGGTATAAAACAAGCATTCTAGATGGTGGGTCCATTACATATAAATATATCAATACTCTATAGTGAAGGTAAAAATACATTTAGATAAAAATCCTAATTTTCACATGTATGAGATTGTTAAAATAAAAATACCCTTTAAAACACTTCAAAACTTCCAGCGAAGGTAGATCTGGGCTGCTCTTAACTTCTGTCAAAGAAGCAACTTCTTTACATTGGAAAGTAGTTAATTGGAGAGGTGCGTAACTCATCAGACACCGAGAAGAAGAGACTCAGTGCTCTCAGCACTAAGTGGGACATTTATATTCCTACCCCACCCCGTCAGACACTGAAAAGAAGAAACTCAGTGTGCTCAGCTCTAAGTGGGATATTTATATTCATAGCCTTTCCCAACAGCCCCAACATTAACACTATGACCAAGGCTTGGCGAGCACCTTGGAAGAGGAAAGAATATAATATGGGAGGAGTGCTGTCATGCTGACTTCTGGATAGCACAGTCATGTGGCTTGGTTACATACCTAAAACCTGTAGCATTGTAAACTACCCACAATTCTGACACAGATGTGATAGATGACTCTAGGCTCAGCCCAAACCGAGGAGCAACAGGAAGTGGATACTTGCAGGGAGAGGAAGAATCATTCTTTATTATTCTTTATTGGTACCGGTAGGTCTCCCATGCTCCACTGTATGGCTTCATAACCAAGAACACACATGTAAACCTTTAACCACAGTGCTTGGGAGGCAGAGGCAGGCAGATCTCTATAAATTCAAGTCCAGCCTATTATCATAGCTCCAGGTCAGTCAGGGGCTAAAGGAAGATCACCCCATCTCTCTCCCACACACCAGAAAAACAAACAAAAATTATGTAAATTTTAGTTTTCTATGGTTTATGTAAACATAAATAACAGGATATGAAAATCCATGGCTATATTTTAAAGTTCTTTATTTATATGATACAGTCTATTCTAGTGGAATATACTAGAATTTATGATTAATTAAGAATCAAACTAGAGCAGACCTGACCTGAAGCAGCAAAGTAAGCTGTTATTTTGCAAAAGTACCAGAGCAAATTTTAAACAATGAAAACATATGAGAAGAAATATAATTCACAAAACAGAATTTTAAGGCACAAGTAGCCATCCTGGCTAAACAAAAGAATAAATAACAAGCATTAAAAGTACGGGGAAAGGTTTACCAGCCATTTTTATCCATCTTTTGATCTGTTTCAATATCTGATTCAGGAATAGTTCTTAGGCGATACCCAGGTAATTGCAATTTAAACAATTTTTTTTTTTAAACGAAACTCCCCAAGTGATTCGAACATATTTCTGGGGTTAGAGGTATAGAAAACTTCAGGGCCTTTAAAGATTACTGACAAAGTTACCTCTCAAAAAGAATAACTAAAAAGAGTCGCAATAAAGAGGACTTCATTGAAGATGGCTTTCATAATTTACACATGAAGTCTCAGTGAAAACTACTTACTACCAAAATAAGTAAGCTTTAAAAGAGACACTCAGCAGAGTAAGGGTTTTAAACACAATTGTTTGTTTAGTGTTCTTTTCTAATAAGAAGATTCTACTTCAGTAAACATACATTCACTTGGTTAACACATATAAACTTTTTACAGTTATTAGTCACTAGTACCTTGCTTTCCATTTCAGATAATTTTCTATCACCATATAACCACACCACTAATCCTGTATATTCATTTTATGGTGGTGGGTTTGAGTCAACATAAGCCTTTTTTTTTTTTTTAAATTGGCAAGCTAGGGAGTGGTGGCACAGGTCTTTAACCCCAGCACTAGGGAGGCAGAGGTAGGTGAATATAGTGAGTTCAAGGCCAGCCTGGCCAACAGAGAGAATTCCAGGTTACAGAGAGAAATCCTGTCTCAAAAAAAAGGGGTGGGGTGGGGTTATAAAATTCAATGTAAAGCTATTTCTCAAGAGAACATATACAAATGGGAAGCAAATACACAAAAACAGGCAACATAAGTAAACAGAGGGATTCAAAGAGAAACCACAAACAGAAACCACAACTGGTAGTTACTTCAGTAAGAATGGTTATTGTGAAAATGACAAAAGGTACAAAAGTTGTCTGGGCTGTGGAGAAAGGGAACACCATGATCCAATAACCCCAACACTAGGTATATATACCACAAAAGTAAAATGTGTTTACTGAGACACTCATGCTCACATATTTTTTACACTATTTATAGTGGCCAAGTTATACAAATAAGCTATTTGTTCATCAGACAGTCAAGCCTGTCCGCTTGGAAAAGATGCAGATGGATGCATCTTCCAACTCTCATCAGAAAAGCATTTATTGGCTACAGATGGTGATTAACAGAAAGACTCACAACTAGGCAAGGTGCAGAAAAATAAAAGCCATCGGAATACTTAGTCCCAAATGGAAAATTTATACTGTTCCCTATCCTTAAAAGGGTTAAGAAAGAGGGGTCAGAAAGACAATAAGAAAACAGTGTCCTCCAGACACAGCCAGGAAGCTCCACTATGAATTCACAGCAGTTAGGACTACAAACAGTCCCTGTGCAATGCCACTACGGAGAGGAGAGGTAGACATGATGTCCCACCTTAGGGCTAGTGGCAGCGGATAGCTGCTGGGAGAGAGTTGTCTTCTCTGAGTATTACCACTGGTAGGTAAACTAAGCCCCAGTGGAAGGTCATATATTCATGAATATACAGACAGCACAAGATAAGACTTGTGGAAAAAAAGAGAAAGAGGATACAAAGTTGGCTTGGCAAGAAAGTGGAGATATATCAGGAAGAAAAAGAGGTGGCGGTGAAGTACCCAAAACTCAGCATATGAAATTCTAAAAAAAAAAAAAAAAACTAACTAAAAATTAATTTAAAAAGACAAGATCCAAAGCAATAAAATCAAACAAAACATATATTTATTTACATATGCTCTTCTTTAGTTCTAATAAAAAATATAAAAATGACTGCTGGAAAAACCATATAGCAATGAAGGGTAAGAAAAACAAACTCATTATGAATTCTATCTAGTTGGCACTAGGAAATAAGTCTGATATATAACATTAAGTGTTCTATACAAGTTTTATTACCTCAATGTTACTAGATAAAGGAATGGTTTTTCCTTTAGTACTATCTGATTCCTCAGCTCAAAAAAATTAATAAATTTTCAAAAATTCAATTACCCTATGAAAAGTTTATTATCTAGTAATCTGCAATATTTGAGGTAATCAATTCCCTAAATTTATTTTTCAAAATGCTATTTTTAAAAAAACAGAATATACATTGTATTTATATAAAACAGAAAAAATACTCACAAATAAAATTGACAATGCTGTTTACCAGAACTATCACAAAACCTAAGATCTCATAAAAAAAAAATACAGTAACTATTTTGAAAATAACCCAGGGACTCTGTGATCATTGCTTTTTTACAAAACATTACTAGTACAGGCTCATGTTCTTGATTTATATTTTCAACAGTTGGTTTTGCACTACAGCAATAGAGGGGAGTGTGTATAGCAGACACTTCATGGTCCTCCTAGTTAACAACATTCACTATGTGGACCTTCACAGAGGAGAAAAGTTAAATCAATGACAAAGTATTGTCAAGCTAAGGGAAACATAGATGAGGGTCACAAAGGCCCCATGTAATTCACAGGCATGTTTTGTTTCCCTGAGTGATACCTCCTATTTATAGAGCAAAATAAAAAAAGAAATTTACTTTGAAGAATTAAAAAGAATCTAGGAAAGATTTTAGAAAAATGGAGGTAGACAAGTGAGTCAGTGAACTACAAAATAAAATAGGAATTAACCTGAAGAATAAAAATACAAGAAACAGTGTATAAGGCTCACAAAACAGAAAAGTAAAATATTAATACAAATAGTTATAAAGAAGAGATTTCTGATTCATGAATATTCAATGGTGTAGTTCTCAGAAGACTACTAAGAGACTTAAAGAATGGTACTATGTATTAATAAAGAGGCAATTTACCAACATGTATCAACCTTCAATTGGTTTATGCCCTTATGATAACAGCTTCAAAATACATGAAGGCATATATCTCTATTTTATGTGTCAGGAAGAACTGAACTGAGTTTTTTCTTCTTTGTTTTGTTTTGTTTTGTTTTAAGGTTTATTATGTGTAGGTATGTACATGGGCCTGGGTAACCAAAAGTACACCAATGCATACAGGAGCCTGTGGAGACCAGAGGGAGTCATATCCCCTAGAACTGAAATAGAAGATGGTTCTGAATTGTCATATGGGTTCTGAGAAGTGATGTAAAATGTCCTTCTGTATATGTGTTACTTTCATTGGCTAATGAATAAAGCTGTTTGGCCAATGGCTTAGCAGAGTACAGCGAGACAGGAAATCTGAATAGAGATATAGAGAGAAAGCAGGTGGAGTCAAGAAGACATCATGTAGCTACCAAAGGAAAAAGACACCAAAACTTTACCGGTAGGCCACAACCTCATGGTGATACATAGTTTAATAAAAATAGGTTAATTTAAGATGCAAGAACTAGCTAGAAATATGGCTGAATCATTGGCCAAACGGTGTTGTAATTAATACAGTTTTCGTGTGATTATTTGGGTCTGGGCACCAGGAAATGAATGAGCAGTCTTCGCTTACAGAGAACCAAACATAGCCCTCTGTAAGACAAGAAAGTACTTTTAATTGTTATCTCTTTTAATGCTGTCTCTAAATACAGCTTGTGTGAGGTTTTTATTTTTAAATAATCAATCAGAGCCATTAAACCCCACATACTCTTGATTTCCCCAGTGTTTGTCCTAATATGTACAGAGATAAAACAAAACAAAACAAAACAAAACAAAGCTACCTTCCTGGTCAACTATTACAGATTCTAATGGCAAATGTGGGACTTCAAAAAGAGATTATTTGACACGATGAAAATTGAAGTTGGTAACATATTACGAGCAATTCATTGACTAATTACTAAGAAGTAGACAGAAATAAAACTCATTTAGCAATTGTAGTTACTTCTTTGAATAAATGGGACACACATTTATTGTCACCTATCTACTTTTTTGTCCAAAATTATTTTTAAATTTTGTGTGTGTGTGTGTGTGTGTGTGTGTGTGTGTGTGTGTGTGTGTGTGTATGTGTGTGCACATGTAAATACAGGTGCCCTGGGAGGCCAGAGTCTCTGGAAATGAACACAGAATAACCACTTAACCATTGAGCCATCTTTAGAAAACATGCCTGTGTCACTTCAAAGATTTATTTTTATATCTACTCTCATATAAATAGTCTGTAGTTTGCAGGAGAAAAAAAAGAAAAAAATATTACACAGAACACAGAAATTAGACTTCATGTTTATATCTCATAACCCAAAAAATCAGTAGGATATGGAAAACCAGAAAAATACTAACAAGCATTCCCTAAATGACACTTTTGAATGCTCTATAAAAGCCAGAGTAGAGGTTCTTCTCAATGCCTCTGAAATATTTACCCAGGTAGTTCATAAACTGGACCACAAAGTGAATTACAACATATTTAAAGGAATTAAAATTATATAAACTGTTTGTACATAAATCAGATTTCTGAAAAATTTAAAGCACATTTTATAATGATCCATAGCTAAACAAGGTACTCAAAAAAAAAAACCCATTGAATTAGAAGTTGAAACTAAAAACCAAATGTTAATACATGAAATCTAAGGATTAGTTAGAGCAGTACTTAGAAGAAAGTGTATGAAGAACAAAGATTAAAAGAGAAGGTCTCAAGTCAGAGATATGAACTATAATAGGACGAAAATAATTACACAGAAATACAGAAATATTAATGAATAAAACTCACTGAAGTCTGAACAGCTTCCCTATGAACACTCAATCGTTTTACAGAAATAAAATATATACTGTCAATGGACCCAAAACAGCCAAAACGGATCCTGGAAACAATCAAAAATGGCAGATTCATACTTCTTGATTTCAAAATAGCACTACAATTATTAAAACAATGTGGCACTGGAATAAAGATATACATAAAAATCCAATGGCATACAATAAAAAGACAAAGGCTAAAAAAGTGTAATTTTGTTAATTGTTCCAAGATTATGAAATGGGGAAATAAATAATCTTTTCAGTAAGAGACGTTAGAAATTCAGGACATTTATGTGTAAAAACGAAGTTGTGCCTTTAAACCATGTACAAATTAAAATGGGTCAAAGGCACAAATGTTAGACTTACTGCAAAACTCATGGAAGAAAATACAGGAGAAAAGTCTCACAACAATGAATTTGACAGTGATTTCTCAAATATTCTAAAGGCATATACAAGAAAAGCAAAAATTAAACAAACTGGACTTTATAACAATAATTTTAAAAATGTACCAAACGCTATCAACACTGTAAAAAGGGAACCCAAATGTGGAATACAAACCACTTGGTTAATATGCAGAATATAAAGATAACTCTCATTTCAAGCAAAAACAGAGAAAGAAAAATGAGAATTCTGTTTTTTTTTTGTGGGTGTGTATTAACTTATAATTCAACAAAGATAGCTAGATGGCTAACAAACACATAAAGAAAGATGTTTCATATCACAGCACTGTAGAGAAACTGAAATAAAAACTACAGTGAATTACCCCCTTAAATCCACTTTTAGATTTTATCTATGTATTTTACAACGAAACAAAAACAGAGCATAGAAAGACATGAAGGCACGCAGGCAGGCAAAAAAGGAAGTTAGTGAATGAAAGCGGGGAATATGGAAAGAAAAGGGAAAGGTGGGAATAACGGAAAAGGCAGAGAGGGATGGAGTCAGCTGGGCAGGTAGGCAGGTAAATCCAAACTAAGAGGCTAAGGATGTTGACATGAACGTGGTGAAATCAGAACACTCAGGCCCTATACCCATTATATATGGGATCTTAAATGGTATAAACAACATGAAAAATATGGTGACAGTTCCAAAAATGTAATCACAGATTATCATACGACAGGGCAATTTCACTTCTGTGAACTAAAACAAATTAAATAAATATATATTTGTACATGGATAGATAGTTCCCAACAGTCAAAATGGGCCTTTACGTGTAAAAAGAGAGAAGAAAAAGCACAATATGTGAAATAAAGGTTCCAATTTTTATTATTTAGTCCTTACTGTGGAAGCTACACAAGGAAAGGAATAAAAAAAGGGAAAGAAAATTATGGCAACTCTCTTTAAAAGTAATTTTTAAAAGATTTATATTATTTTCCTTTATATAATTGTGTGTTTGTGTGTATACATATGTGTGCAGATGCCTGTGGAGGCCTGAAGAAGGAATCTGATCCTCTGGAGTTGGAAATACAAGTAGAGAGAGACTTGCTTGGCTAACTTACAAACCTACATAAGTGGGGACTCCAGATGAGGTCTCCAATTTTCCAACTGAGAAGTATCACAGACATACAGATATTTGTTCAATTATAACATAAAAACTACTTAGAAGGCAAACTGAAGGTAAAAATATATTCTTTGTTAGTTACACAGACATTCAAAAATGCAGCATAAAATAGAAAAATTCAGAAACTGGAGTACAGTTATTTTCTAACATCATGCTTCATAAATAATACTGTTAAAAGAATAAATATTCACCATCATCTTTTCAATACAGCCACTGTTGAATCAGTTAACAATTTTCATAGTAATTAATTTTTATTTCCATCTAAAATTTTTTGGGACATGGTTCCTTTTAAATCTGTATAAAGCTGGATTTACTGGCATTTATTATCATAGGTCACAAAAAACATTTAAAAGGCATTAGTATACTTGATTTAAAAGTAAGTTAATCTGTTCACAACATCTCTACTAAAACAGGACAGGAAGAATAGTAGAAAATAACAAATAGTAAAGAGAGACAAAGAAGAAAAGCAGAAAAGGCCAATCAAGACAGCAAAAGAGATATAAACAAAAATATTACACTACCACGAGGCTTTAGAATATATTGAATATTTCAAATAATTTTGAATATAGAAATTTCTAAATGCTTCAGGGAATAAAGTTTACTAAATGGTATATTTAAAACACTTGGTTAAAAGATAATTGTAGGGGTGGACACTGGTAAATAGCACTTGCTATAAAATCATGAGGAATGGAATTCTGACCAAGTACCCACAGTAGTGTAAACACTAATGCCTATAACTCCAACTCAGGGACCTGACACCCTCTTCTGGCTTCTGTATACATATATGCATATACACGGACACACAAACACACAGACACACACACGGGGCGGGGGGAGGACATACACATACATAAGGAAAATAAGAATCTTTAGGAAGTTGCCAGCAATTCAGAGGGCACCGTGTGACACAAATACAAAAACATTATTATGAAGAAGCAGTGCACTTATTTTTTTCTTCACTCAGGGAAAACTGATGTCTAACTCAAATTATTTTGATTCACAAAAGACTAGCATGAGTTTCAATGAATAACTTACATAGCTGTGCCTAAAAGGAGTTCTGGGGAGTGGGAACTCCTGAGCGAAAATGATAGTACCTTTTGCATCATCAGAACCTGAAGCCAAAAGTTTAGGATCCATCAAATTAAAGTCAACACTCCAACACCTCTTTTCATGCTCCTTGATATAGAAGAAAAAAAAAATTTATTGATATTGGTTGGTGGCACAAAATGCAATCAAATGTAAAGCAAAGACACTGGTAGAAAGCCTCACACTAAAATTAATGCTTTGGTAAATGTATATGATATATTCTAAAAATAAAGAATGAGAAATCTCTTAGAAAAGCATTTGGTACTACCACAGTTATTATATAACTATAAAAACACTAAACAATGGCTGAAATTTTTTAATTATAAAGCACATGAATATCATAAATTACTATAAAACAAAAAAAGTAATTGTTTTAACAAGTAATCAGTTTCCATATTTACCTGATAGACTTTTGACCTCTGTCCTGTGAATCCATCCCATAGTATAACAGTGCCTTCATAATCACTGCTGGCTAGCAGATTCTTATGGTAACTACTCCAACTGATACAGCTGAATGAAAGAAAAGCTAAAGCTTTAAGATATAAATAAGTAACAATGGAGCATAATGATTTTAGTGTGTTCAGGAAGATGAGCGCTCGTCAAAATGGTTTACATCACTTCACAATCATTCAGAAAGAGATGATAGTACTACCTACGTTTCCTGAGTGAACTATCCAATGCTGAAGTTTACACTTTTTACTCTGATCACAGTATGATAGATACAAGCCAGAAGCTGCTACTGATCATCTCTGCTACATTTGAAAAGCATACCTACTAATCACAATGATAAATGCCCAGGTGGCTCAGAGGATGTTACAGCACAATGACAGATATGAACGATTGTTAAGCCCTATATTAAGCTTTGCCAAATCATATTAAGCTAAATAAATGAATATGAATTACATTTCTGTGTTTATATTCAAAAGGTCTTAACCAATATAAGTTATGATTAAAATTCCAATTAAAATAACCCAATAGATTCAAAGTTTGAACATTTATGACTTTAGCTATTCTCTAAAAGTCTGCATCTAAGGCAGTAAGCTACTGTTGAGACACATACATATTTAAATCAGGCAAAACAAGATGTACACTACTGAACAAGGTACCATGAAAAGCAAGTAATGTATTTTGCTCTCTATTGTATTTATGACAAATTTTAGGGGTTGGAAAGAGATCATTTGCATTTTAAAATATACTCAATTTTGATGGATTTAGACAGACTTGCACTCTAATTCCAGACTGGTTAACTTAGTATATTTCATAACTGGCAAAAAAAAACTGGACAACTCTTGTTAGTTTTGCTTAGGTATAGGTCCTTTTAGCCCCGCAGATTTTGGCCATTTTCTCCAATGTAATGTGCCATAAAGTACTAAGCATTTGCCTATGTGTTATGGCAAAGCAGGCAATAGCACACTGAAACTCTAATTATGTTTTCCTCAAGGGAACAATGACGATGAATACGTGTCATGAGCCAAGTATTCTGCTGAGTTTACTACTGTGATGTTTTTTTAAAGTACAATTCTATACAAGTGATATTACTATAATGGTCACATGCTATAAGTAATTATAAAGGAATTAAAAGTACAAACTCTAGAATTAATATTACCTTAATTTGCACTTCTCTACACATTACTTAGCTCATCCCAGGCAAGCTATTAACTTTCGGTTTTAGCACTCTTCAGCTGTAAATGCGGCAATAATAGTAACCATCTCAGACAACTGTTAAAGCACACAAGACAATGCCTAACACACAAGCATTTAATAAACTCATTTTTGCAATATAGTCTCTGCTTAGAAGACAGAATGATGTGGGATTCCCCTCTGTATGCTGTGAATAAAGAAGCTGTTTTGGCCTATGGGAGGGCAGAATAGAACTAGGCAGGAAAACTAAACTGAATGCAAGAAGAAAGAAGGCAGAGTCAGGGACAAGCCATGTAGCTGACAAAGGAGGCAGATACCATGTAGCTGCCCAAGAAGCAAGAGGTAACATACTACAAGTCTCACAGTAAAATATAAAATAATAGAAATGGGTTAATTTAAGATTAAATTTAAGTAACAGTTACTTAATAAGAAGTCTGAGCTAACAGGCCAAACAGTGTTGTACATAATATAGTTTCTGTGTGATTATTCAGATCTGGATAGCCAGGAAGTAAAAGGCAGTCTCCACTACAGACAGACTGTAATAGATTCTCAAGTGTGAGTGCCACTGATAAATGGACAGCTCGTAAACTGCTGTGGGTAAATTAGGAAACAAAACGAACATAATACTAATTTATTACTAACATCATTAAAATGCACATAAAAACACATATACCTTGGATTCAACATCTTTAATCCAAAATGTCCCAGAATCCAAAACATCCAGAGCACCAAGTCTGTTGGCTAAATATACACAAACTCTGTTTCATAGCAATGTATGTGAAGATACACACTCAGGGTAAGTGAAGTCTGTGATTAGGTTCACATCTTATCTCCAAGATGTTTCAAAACGCACATGGATGAAAAGCTTAATCAGAAACACTGTGGTACCAAACATTTCAGATAAAGGATACTTAAAACAGTATGTATGTATTTATCAAGGTAAGAAAGGTACATGGATGACTGATTTCTTTTAGAGCTTACACTAATAATCACGTGCTCTTGAGAACAGCTAGGGAAATCTATTTCTTCTATGAGGTAGGGAAGAGAGGGGAAGAAAAAGAAAAGAGAAAGAAAAGAAAGGAAAAGGTTGATTGTGGAATTCCTGACTTTCCTGGGAAACACGTTAGCTCTGCACTGCTTTGAACTATAATCTTTACTGAATTAAATTTAAATAGTGTTCTTTCAAAGAAAAGCCTAATACTTGTGTGAAAACATCTTAAAACTAGAAATAACTATATTTAGAGATACGCTCATATTATGGATTATTTCTGATGTTAAAGTAAATGATAATTTCCACAAAAAGCAAACAATGTCTATAGGAAAGATATTGCTTTAAAGCAAAGCATCTCTCCATACACAATCACAGTATTCACTCTTGATGAGTAAGCAGTCTCATGGAAAAGGTAAAATAATTTCACACTTAACACTAATATGGACAACAGCTATATATATGCTACATTGGGGCAACAAAAAATAAATACCTGATTTTGGAATTGCAGGTCATTTCATTCTCAGGGTAATGAATATCCACTGCATCCTGGATGACTGTGCCATATTCATAAACTTTAATCTTCTTTGTAACCCCAGCAATTGCAAAATAGTCACAATCCCGATCAAATTCGATACTAAAACGGAAGGAAAAACACATCTTGTTTGTGAGACCATGAAGCCAACCTTATGATGTTATATATAGCAACATTTCAGGGTTTTAAGTTTTTCATTCCTTCTTTTTATTCTCCCAATGCTGGGGGCTTGAACGCACGGCATAAATGTATACTAGGCAAGCACAATGCCAATGAGTTATATCCTCGGCTGGCATTTCCTATTTCTAAGAGTTTCTATTTACCTCTACAGATAAGACAGCTTCTTGAAATAGTTTCAAGTTTCCCTACACCACATGTCCAGAATAAGTCATCAAGACATCAAATTTCAAGAATTAGGGAACTATATAGATATGTAACTGTCAAGGTGAACTTTTGTTCCTAGACAACTGACATGTTTTTAAGTTTACTTTTAATAAGATTACATCTCAGTGCGGAAACCTTTAATGATTTGAAATATTACAAATGTCAAATGAAAATAACCAATTAGTTTTTTTCATAAATTCTTGTTATTGCTCTTTCAGGGAATGTGATATTATTTTAATATATCTGAACAAACAGAATAACTGAAGCAATTGGGTAGTGACAAATGGACAGAATATTAATAAAAACAGAGTAACTAAATAATCCTTACTTCCACCCAAACCATTCCTTATTCCCAAAACAAATATTATCTCTCTGAATCACAGAATGTTAACGCACATTCCTTATTGCACAAATAGGGAACTCTCTCTAAAAAACAAAACAAAAACAAACAAACAAAACCCCTCTGTTCCTTTTTAGAGGACTTAGGGAATATACTCCTTTCTTGTAATTTCTCTAAATAAAAATTCCAAAATAAGCCATTTCAATACAATATCTTATTCACTCCTATCATACCAGCTAGAAATCTAACTTGCCCTGATGCGGGTAAAAATTGAAATGAACCATCAAATTCAATACTTTTCAACATAAATTTAGTTTCCTTCCAGAGGTTTAGCTGTAACTAAAAGAGTTACAAAAGAGTTCCCAATGATCTATAATAACTACCAATTCTCTTAACAACCATTAGAGGAAAACATTACTACTATTAACAGTTTAGACTACTGAGGGTTAGAGTGAAGTAATCTGCTCAAAGTTAGCTGGTTTTAAAGTGTTTGAGATGATAGTTATCAGGCAATCTGGCTTCACAGTTAAGGCTCTAATATTTAGGTTAAATCAAAAATCAAACCTCCTATGTGCAAGTCAAACTATAAAGTAAAAGGGTTCAAAACTCAAACTCTAATAAAATTTGTTATATATTTCTGTACCTACATATATCTTCCCACCAATAATTATCAAGACATAAATACTAGGTACTCATTAAATGCATATAAATACAACTGCATTATATATGTGTATAAATACAAATACTTATATTGTATGTGGAGTATTTAGGAGTGCTAGCCAGATGATATACTTTAATGGATTACTTGTACAATACTCATGCAGAATTAACTAAGTTACTACTTAGTTAATAATTCAATAGGAAGTTTACTTAGCTAATGACTAAGAGAAATATACATTAAAATTTTCTTAAAGACACATTGAAATACTTTTCTAAATTATAGGCTCAAATCATTTCTTAATTTCTAAATCTTACAAAAAAATTTCAGTTAAGTGCCAGCAACTACAGAACAACTTAGCCAATAACACTTACAATCCAATAAGACAGACTTACTGGTATTATAATATTAATGTACTTCTGCCTCAGCTACCACCTGTGTTATGAATTCTAACACAAGAATTATATTGATGACAACTTTTCTATCTCAGAGCGCATGCACAGACAGACAGACAGGCAAGCGCACGCGTGTGTGCGCACACACACACGCACACACAATGATATTTGTGCTGGTTAGTTTTATGTCACCTTAACTGAAACTATAGTTATTTAGAAATGGCCAATCTCAATTGAGAGAATGGCCCCACTATATTGGTCTATAGACAAGCCTGAAGTACATTTTCTTAATTAGTGATAGATGTGGTAGACCTCAACCCATTGTGGATAGTTCCACTCTGGGCTGTTGGTTCTGGGTGCACTAAGAATGCAAGCTGAGGAGGTCACAAGCCAAGAAACATTTGTTCATAGTCTCTGCATCAGCTCCTATATCCAGGTTCCTGACCTGTTTAAAAGGTCCCGCCTTGACTTCCCTTAGTGATAGACTGTGCTGTGGTACTATAAATGGAAATAAACCTTTTCCTCCCCAAGTTGCTTTTGGTCACATGATTTTATCATAGCAACAGAAATCATGACTAAGACAGACTGGCAAATGACAGATATTGGAAATGAAATCTACTTGCAACTGAGGTGGTTTAGAATGCCTAGTTCAAGAATCAGTCATACCATTCCTAAATATATCCCCTCCATCTATGTTACTAAAACAATGAAAAGTACTCTAACGTACAAGTGAAAGTGTGTAAGAATAGGCAAACTTCTAGTTTTTAATACAAGCATATTTAAGTATTAACCTGTTATCAACTGACTAAAAGCCCCACACAATGGCCCGCGGACACAGCCTTTGCTGACACTTGGTCTCAGATATCCTTTTCCTCTAGCAGGATGTGTCATTACCTACTTTAATTCAACTGTGAAAAAAAGATCATTTTTTTTTGTTTTGGACTCATTGCTATTTTCTTCCATTTTGGTTATTTAATAAATATTTTGGGGAGTAAGACATGATGATTCATTTCTATAATCCTAGTGCTCAGAGGCTGAGGCAGGAGGATTCTAAATCTGAGACTGCCCTAGGAAACAATCAAACTCTTTCACAAAAAACAAACCCAAACCTAACAACTGAGCCCAAAACCTATGACACTAGGAACATCAAAGTCCTGGTGTCTTTTTATAGTAAAAAGTCAAAAAGAAAATGAAAAGGAAAGATCTAAAGACTGCACCATGTCTGTGAACACTAATTTTTAGGTGCTTAAGGTTTTCTAGAACCCATCTAAAATGGATATCCTCTTATTCCATAAAGCGGTGTTTCGGTTATTTTGATTATGATGTGAGATAACACAAAAGCAGTACAAAAGTTTAGCAATGTCAAATTAGGATAAAATAAAAGGTATGAAAACTAATCAAAATGTACCTGTTTAATTAATTCCTCAAAGAATAAGAAGTCTTACTATTTACTGATAAATAAAACTTTATTTCTGCCTTCTACTATTATTTACAATTATTAAAACTACTGATGAAAATTCATTACAATGAAAAATTCAATTTCATCAACCAAGAATGTTCTAGTAAAATATGCCGCTGCCGCTACCACCACCACCACTACCACCACTATCATCACCACTACCACCACCATCACCACACACGCACTTTGGTCATCTGAGAACCCTCTGTTCCAGGAACCTAGTCACATGACTTCTTATACCCGATTCTCCTGATAAGGCCCAACCTACACTGCCTTTGAGGACAGACCACACTGCCTGGGGATCTCCAGTACCTTTCTTCCTCTGTGAAGGTAGGCCCTACAGAGGTCCTAACACTTCCTAGGAACCTCATGTACCAGGTGACCAGTCTGCCCACAAGATTTCTTGCACCCATCTTCCCCAGTTAAGGCCTGTATATATTATAAGTACGCCAAGGTCCAGCTTCATTTTCACCAGGCCCATCTACAACTCCCAGGAATACTGCTTCAGGAAGCCAACCCAAAAGGCCTCCAACATAACCTATCCACTATAAAACTTCCTAAACCAGGTACCTAGAGGAAGACAGTTATAGCCATCATACTGAATTGATCCTCTCCTGGACACTGTAAATGCTGCATGGAAGCAATATGAATCAAGACAAAACAAACCGAACCAACAAACTAAGTCAGATGTGCAAGTCTCAAAAGAAACAAAATGAAAAACCCAGACATATCCAAAAATGATTAATTCCGTAATAATGGTGGCTACTGAAATTATTCTAGTATATAAAGAATTGCAAACAAAGACATGGATTTAGTTTAAGAGTCAAAAACAAAGAAAAGTCAACCAAAGACATGGAAATAAAACTCAAGGGACACAATTGATAGAGAAACTCCAAAATGAAATGATTCTGAGAATGAAAAACCCAGTAAGTCAAGTGAAAAACTTCACTATGCACAGCACAGAAATCAGGGCTAGAAAACAAGGTAAAGGAATTTTATCAGTTAGTAAAGGTCAATGATAAATTTTTAAAAAATGAATAATAGTTATGGGATACCATGAAAAAATATAACCTTTAAATTATGAGGCTAGAAGAACAATAATATAGCAAAAGCATAGAGAATGTTTTCAATAAAATCATAGAAAGTTTCCTAAACTCAGAGAAAGGGATGCCCACCCAGGTAAAAGATGTCTACAGGACCCCAAATAGACAGAAGCAGAAAAGAAACTCCCCTAAACCCAATACAGTTAAGACATTAAAAATATAAAATAGTGGGGGGTAAAAAAGGTTCCAAGAGAGAAAGGTCAAGTTACTTACAAAGTCAAGTTCATTAGAATAACATTCGAGCTCAAATATTTAAAACCAGTGTACATGAAAAGATGTGTTCTAAGTCCTGAAAGCTAACTAGTGTCAACCTAGAATATTATACCCAGCAAAACCATGTACAAAATTTGAGGAAAACTTGAAACCTTACACTATAAAAACAGACTAAAGAACTTATAAGCACTACTTCAATTCTATCAGATGACACTTGAAGGGAAGACTGCAATCTGGAGACAGAGATCACAGAGAATAAGCCACTCAAGAACACAGTTCAAATGAAAGGGGGTCAGAAAAAGACAGAAAACAAAATGACAAAAAATTAAAACACATCCTTCAGTAAGTCTGGAGTAAATGGGAATGGAGAAAGCAAACCAGTACTAACAAAGATGCTTCACCCCTATGGCTAGCAATCACAGAAATGTAAGGTTCTATGCTTAACAGGGAACAAGCAAATCAACTATCTTCCCCAGCTTTGAACTTTGCAGCTTCAAAGAGGATTGGCCTGACAAGGGTATCTTCATTGGAGCAACAGTGGTATGCATGT